ATACTGCTCGGCTTGGGTGAATCAATGATTAGATACTTTACCCTGTTGTCGACAACGGAAAGAAAAAACAGGCAAACAATCTCGCCCTTTTGCAAGCTTCTGTCGACAAGAATCGACCGTTCGAGAATGATGTGGATTGGAACTGTCGATCGATATTTTTGAAGTCCGTCGATCGTAATACGTCTTAACATTTGCCGAGATTACTCAAGGGGTAAATGAATAGTTATCCTTCAGTCTCCGTTTGTTTGTCTGTTTTCTTTGGTTCAGTTAATTATATATTACGTACACATGAGTTCCGCAAGTAACTATCCACGATAGCAGCGACCTTCCGAAAGTAGTGATAACGATTCATAGGTGTTATAATAATAGTAACTCCCAAAGGATCGAAAGGGAAGTGACCTTAGTTACAAATTACAGCGGAACCCCGTTAATACGACCACCTTCGGGCCATGAAAAATCGGTCGCATTAACGGGGTAGTCGTGTTAAAGGGGTTCTTTAAATAAGAAAATGACATGACTGAGCTTTTTTTTGGGCCAGAAAAAAGTGGCCGTAATAACGAGGTGGTCGTATTAACGGGGTGGTCGTAAGGCGGGGTTCCACTGTAAAAGCAACGACCCTCCCAGAATAGCGATCGCAAGCGTAGCTTGACAGCAACATCTGTATTTCTTCAGAGGAGATTTCAGGCGAAAATCTCGATTTAACGTCTCGCATTGCCACTTCTTACAGCAGCTGAGAGACTATACAACTGACAACTGCTTAATATACCAAAAGCAATGCAAGGTAAGGTTGCAGAGGACATGTAAAAGAAACCTATCAAATAACTTAGCAATATACATTGTAAGTTTCCGCCTAAGCTGCAGAAGTTGCGAACCCCCGAAAGAAGGGAACATCTACAAGTAGCAACAGAAAAAGTCGCCAAATTTATGGAAATGCGGTCATATGTAATTATTATTTTCGGAACTTTACCGATTGAGAATTCTTTCGATTTAAAAAATTTCGACATAGCAAAAGTTTTACATAGTCTCTCAAAATGTGATATGACAACTCAAATGTTTATGTGATTTTTCGAGTAAAGTGTTAAATGAAATCAAGCCGGTAGGTTTAAGGCTNATATTACGTACACATGAGTTCCGCAAGTAACTATCCACGATAGCAGCGACCTTCCGAAAGTAGTGATAACATTTCATAGGTGTTATAATAATAGTAACTTCCAAAGGATCGAGAAGGAAGTGACCTTAGTAACAAATTACAGTGGAACGCCCTTAATACGACCACCTTCGGGCCATGAAAAATTGGTCGCATTAACGCGGTGGTCGTATTAGAGGGGTTCTTTAAATAAGAAAATGACTGACTGAGCTTTTTTGGGGGGGCCTAGAATAAAGTGGCCGTAATAACGAGGTGGTCGTATTAACGGGGTGGTCGTAAGGCGAGGTTCCACTGTAAAAGCAACAACCCTCCTAGAATAGCGATCGCAAGCGTAGCTTGACAGCAACATCTGTGTTTCGTCAGAGGAAATTTCAGGCGGAAATCTCGATTTAACGTCTCACATTACCACTTCTTACGGCAGCTGAGAGACTATACAACTGACAACTGCTTAATATACCAAAAGCAATGCAAAGTAAGGCTGCAGAGGACATGTGAAAGAAACCTATCGAATACCTTAACAATAAACATTGTAAGTTTCCACCTAAGCTGCAGAAGTTGCGAACCCCCGAAAGAAGGGAACATCTACAAGTAGTGACAGAAAAAGTTGCCAAATTTATGGAAATGCGGTCATATGTAGTTATTATTTTCGGAACTTTACCGATTGAGAATTCTTTCGATTTAAAAAATTTTGACATAGCAAAAGTTTTACATAGTCCCTTAAAATGTGATATGACAACTCAAATGTTTATGTAATTTTTCGAGTCAAGTGTTAAATGAAATCAAGCCGGTAGATTTAAGGCTCAAAAGGTCGAGAGACTTTATCCACGAGTGAATAGCAATAGAATATATTGTCCTTTCTGTTAAGCTTTGGAGAAAAGCGAAGAGTCACCCTCAAATGTTGCTTTAATGGTAGACTCTTTCTTCTTTTCCCCTCCTAATCAGTATACAGCTATTTCTATGTTGTCACTTGATGAAAGGCTATGCCTACTCAAGTGGCATGGACGTATCATCAGATTTTGAACATTTCATTTCGTTCGGGCTAAATTTATCGAGGGTTTAGTATTCTATGGCATGGAGGCTTAGTGAACACCGACGGGTCTTTATCTTTCACGATAATAAACAAGTATTTAATTGTTGATCAAATCTTGTTGGGTGAGGCCTCACGATTGCACTATTTTCCGGATCGATCGTGCCTTAGCTGACCACGTTGTTAAACATTTCACCTTATTACGTATAATTACGTATAATTACGTATAACTACGAAGGATTTTGTATGCCTCTCTCTGGTCCTACAAAATCTCAAGTTTATTCATCTCATAAAACTTTCGATCTTTTAAACGCCTATTTGGAGCAGTACCGACCAAAAAACAAAAAACAAAATGGAAATGGAAAAATTCATTTCCGGCGGAAAATGGTTGCTCATCGGTATGAAATAAAGTTGGTGCAATGGATGCAATTTTTTAAAGAAGAATCATGATTGGGATAAATGTAGTAAATGTTCCTTTTGTTCAAACTTGTCAGAAAATTTCACGATCCGACAACATGCTCTATCCGCCGATATTAACTCGTTTTCCGGGCGCTTTCACTCGAGTACCTCATCCTTATAATTTATATAAGTTGGCTGTTAGCTTAAATGATTTCGTAACAACCCCAAATTTGATTTTCAGGGTAATAATAACACAATCCGCAGATATTGAATTTCACTTACAGATCTCACAGTTTCCGTCTGCCGTAATTCTCTGGGCTTTCTTTAGTCAGCAGGTCCATGGGTACAGGATATCAGCGCTATTGATGAGCTTTGCTCGGCTTTTCAAGTATATTAATTCTAATTTTGTAATTGATAGGTATCTCTCTCTGATTGGTTGGTTTTTGCATCAACCAATGATTTCTTGTTTCATAATCACCGACTGTGGAGGAATAGGCTAAGTGAAGGAGCTACCCCAAAGACGACCCATCCTGCTTACTACCAATATCCGGCTATCCAATAAATCAGTTTGCAAACTAAACCTGTACAGTTTTTCGTTTCTTTATTTATTGTTACCTTTGGTTTTGATTTCTTGTGCTTATTGAGTAATTAAGCTTAAAATGTGTCACGGTGAATCCGACCTATTGTTACGTTTAAGCAAACTCTCAAGGCGTATATTAGATTAACCCCCGGAAGTACAAGCTCTGATCATACCCCCACCGTGGTACAAGGAGAGGGGGTGGATAGGCCCCCATCTTAGGTTTTCGTTCTTTTAAGGCAGAGCGAAATAAATTTACGTTGATAAGACAACCCTGAGCTTGCTCTACAAGAAGATGCCATTTTTGGTGGTTATGACGTCATATGACGTCAAATGAAGTCATTTGACCCGCCATCTTATGTTTCACTATTTTCTTAAAATAAACAAACCTCTTTGGATACATTAAGTACCCAAAACTCTGGGCGGTTCTGTCGGTAAGTCAGGGTGGTTATTTAAAACATCAACTTTCCAAATTTTTTATCATTTATGCAGATTTCGTTCAAATATACAAGGATTTCACGACTTTTTCTAATAGTAGACGCTTTCTTCTCTCTTTTTTCCTCGTTAGTGCAGACTGCTATTATCAAACATGACGTTAACATCACATAAAAGAGCCGGGTTAAGCTTACTTGACAAGTACGATCGTATGGTCGGTCTTCGAACAGTTTGCTGCGGTCATTTAACAATATATAGCTGACTGTAATTAAAGCATAGTTATTTGATGTGCACTTAAGTATACATGCCTCTTATTCAAAATAATACATTTAGGTATTAATAATTCGACGGATCGATCCGTCGTTACACTGAATTTCCGGGTCGTGACTCATGCAGTTCCGCCGCAAAAGTGATTTTATTGCAATGAATTTATCTGATAAGCAGTTTAACAGTTTAAGGGGTTTCCATTTCTTCATGCCAGGCATTTCCGTTCAAACGCCTCCTTGTCTTCATCTGGGTCGATGATAAAATGGACCCGATTTCCTGCGGATGTTGATTATTTTTCTCTACTTTTAAGGTGGCTCCGAAATTCTTTCCAGCATTTTTTCAGCACCTCTCCTTTGCTGAATCAATGCTACCACGTTTTTCCAGGTGATGCCATAATAATGGAAGCAAAGAAATAGCTAATGATTGGTGAACAAGATATGATCATTTCCTTAGCATTACAAGTTACCATGGAAACGGTTTGACTTGATAAACTCTCCTAATTTTAGCTTTAACTCAACCACGAGACGTAGTTTAAACCTGCAGCTGTTTAAAAGAACGTGTAATTTGGCTGAACTTGTGCATAAGGAGTCTAAAGTGACGCCATCAAATACGCAAGAGTTAAGTCAATAAGATGAGGGCAGTTAGATAAGTGGGAATTTTCCTTTCCACTTATTGTTTAAAAAACGAAAAAAATAATAAATAGTATTTTTATAGCGCCTATCCAAGCGTGATCTAGGCACTTAAGGTCTAAAACAGAAATCGGGTCGCTATATATCATAAAAAGGTTTATGTGCAATGGGTGTCATAAAAAAGCCATCTAAAACTTCGTGTCTTCAGGACGAAAATGCGTAACATCCATGATAGAGTTTTGGTTTACATCTTGAGGGACGGTTGGGTTTGCAGTGTGCTTGAATGAAAACTGCGAAACAGCGCCATCAGATGGAGATTTATCTTCTTGTCCCTGAGCTTCAATGTCCTCTTTTTGTGCTATGAAAGCAATAATAATACAATAAAGGCGTTGTAAATCAACGAAGAATTGTATAACAACATTAATAAGTGTAATAAAAATCATACCATCAGAATATATTACATCTAATACAACTTTTAATATAGGAATGGGGGAAGTGGGGCCGAGTGAAGGGGGAAAGCTCATTGCCAGCTTCTGCCCCTTTTGTCCTTCTCTCTTTTTCTCGGCTATTATCACTCATCTTCCTAAATGCCCTTAGGAAAGTCTGTTAAGCCAATAAATGACGCTTAAGCCATCAAATAATCAACTTGGCACAAAATATTAGTTTCCTTCAATTGATTGTCACTAAATAGGTGCAAGGGACGCATGGATACGTCTAGGAGTCTATATTTATTTTAGGTCAGAATACGGGCCGGATTCGGTATTTTTCGGCAGTTGCTCTTGATGGTTCTATAAGAAACACGACAATAAAATTTTCACTTCTTTATAATAAACATTGCAGCGCCTACCTTTGAACTTGCAGGGTAACACTGAAGATTGGAAAAACAAAACCAGCAAGAATCCAATCAGAGTTAATACCCCAGGCGTCATTACAAAGACGTGTTGTACGTAATCGCTAATGGCCTCATTTGAATCAGTGCTGTGTTGAAGAAGAAAAAATATCAGGTAAAACAAATTATACTAGAGGGCTTACCAAATGGTATATGACGAAGCTGTGTCATCTTTTCAAACTCGTGAGGGTACGTTACCGTTATAATACCTTAAATTACTCGTAATTAAGCGCCTTATTCCCAGACATCGTGAAACATCCATGCGATAATAAACGCTTATAATTAGATTCAGCTTTAAGATCTCGATTGATTGTTTTTTTGTTTGTTTGTTTGTTTGTTTGTTTTATACCAGGTGTGTTTAATGCTATACCTCAATACTGCATCGAAAGACCCAGCCGAGATATGTGATGCAGTTCATTTCATGTTTATTTGGAGAATTTGTTCGTATATCGTATCGCTATGGTTAGCCTAATACACCGTATAAGTCAAAGCACCATGGAAAAAGGAACAGGCAAAATCATTCCAACTTTTGAACCTCGAAAATGAGTCCATCCGAAAAGGAAGCCACGACAAAAACCTTAGTTCGTATAGTGTGATCGTCCGGGTGAGGGTATAGTTCTGAAAAGAACTGTTGTTGGTGACTGACGTTTCGACAACCTGAGCG